AGCATGCGTTTTTTATGTTCTAATGATCAACCGAATTTCAATTTGTATGAATCTCCTGAAGGAGTCCTCAAATATTCTGATGGAGAATTGGCATCTAAAGTTAGAGCCTGTAATCCTGCTTTTGATTATGTGCCTCCTGAATTAGTGACTCTATTCATATCCAATGTGTAAGTGAATAACATTGTAAAATGCAAGTTTTTGATTTAAAAAAAAAAAAACATTTTCATTGCTTTTAAAAAAATAATTTTAGGGGTGGACATTCACCATCTTATATATATCGACTAATCAGTGAATTGTATCATCCGGATGATAATTAAAATATCAATACCAGAACTGATGATTTTTTATTTATGTAAAAAATAAAATAAAATATATATATATTAAAATAAAATGAGTTTATTTAAATAAAAAAAAAAATTCAATTAAAATAATAAAAAAATTTTTTTTGTGCGAAGAATTTATTATTATATTGGAATGAATACTTTAACACAACAATATATAATTTCTTATTTAATAATAATAATAATAATAATAACAACAAACAATCTTTGAGTAAAGTAAGAAATAAATTGATTATAATTTAATATATTTTGTAAAAAGGATTAATTTTAAAGAATATTTATTATAAGAAATAATTACAAGCAATAAAAAATGTTCATATTGATGTTACTTAATAGTACACATATAAAAAAAACAAAAAATAATTTCATCTGTTGTAATCTCTGAAACACTGGAAAATCAAAACGAAGCGAGAAGTTTCTTGTTAAATAAACATATTTATGGTTACAAAAAATTAAATTAAAAAAAAACAAATCAAGGACACACAAATAATTAAAAATTTTTTAAAATTTAAATTCCAATTACCAAATATAAAATTATTAAAGATATGAGACATCATACACAACAAACGTATATAGTTTGAAATACACTTCAATTATTTAAATAATTAACATTAATAATAAAAACATTTATTATTATTAGTTTAAAAAAGAGAGAAATAAATTTAAAAGTCTTTTAGTGTCACATTATAAAAGCATATATAAGTTGTTTCAATCACAAAATGGATTAATAATCAATTGTTAGTAAGTAATATATCAAATAATATGTTAAAAATTTTTTGATAATAAATTTACATATAAAAATATATATATAATTGAATACATTTAAATTTGTAAATATTATAGTTAGTATAATTAGTATTAGTAGTATTAATAAAAAAAGTTTCCAAAGCCAACCCAATGATTAGTATATAATACATTCAAACCATATTCACAGGCACACATACAAGTTTCAATTTTTATTTTCAATTAATTCTTTTTTTTTTGAATGGTTAAAATGATAAATATTTTTTAAACTAAAAAATTTGACTCAAAAAACAATAATTATTAAGACAAAAAATTCTTTTTAATCAAAAATTTTAAAAAATAAAAAGATATTGTGTTACAAGATTAAAAAAAAAAATGGCAGCCTAAAACTGTTACTGATAATTTCCCTGATATTTTCATTAATTTCAAAGACTGATAAAGATATTATTATTATTATGTCAAAGAAATATATTTTAAATTTTTAAATAAAAAAATTAATAAAATATAAACTAGCTTTTTTCTATAAATAAATAAATAAATAAATAAAATTGGTGTTAAAAGATTGAGGTAGATAACATGGGTAACATTTTCAAAATTTTCTATTCGAAAGAATAAAAATTATTCATTAAAATTCACCAAATTAAACGACAACAACAACAACAACCACAACTTAATATTTTACAAAAAATGTACTGTAATTAAACAAAAGGTTGAACTTTGGCATTCAATTGTATTACTATTCATTTATCAAAAAAAAAAAAAAAAAAACATGAAACCACAACAAAAAAGATTTTTCCATTCACACACACCCACACTCGAACTGAACAACAAAAAATTTCATCATATACATGAAGACCACATAATAAACTTTATATAAATATTATCAGAAATACATTTAATATCACATTTTATATTAAAACCATATTGATTAAAAATAATGTAAATTTTTAATATAAAAAAATTTTAAGAGTAAAAACTGGCCATTAATAATAATAATAATAATAATAATAATAAAAGCAATAGCTTTTAAAAAAAAAAATTTGTCATGATGATTAAATTGGCCCACAAAAGATTCTAAACGGGACTTGAAAGTCTGCATTATAGAAAATTTTTTTTTTTTTTACAATGTCTCAGGATCTGGGGGCAAGAAAGTTATATCTTTTTTAGGATTTTTGGCACGAATTTGATTAATTTTCATGTAACTCATAAACTGTCTAGGAATTTCGGCAAGAACTTCTCGCGCCAATCGATTTCTAGCTGTACCAGGATCAGCAATAGATAAAAACTTATTAAACGAAACAAACTGTACAATGTCTCTTTGTGCTTTTACTCCATTGTGTTGAAGAGCAACCGTGTCTGCATCGAGTGTTTCCATTGCAGAAAAATCCGCATTTCCAATTCCGACAATAATTATGGAATACGGCAGAGATGAAGATTGAACAATAGCCTAAAGCAAAAAAAAAAAAAAACGAAATAGAAAAAACAAAATGGTTGATTTATTATTTTGCAAGTTTTAAAATTAATTTTTACCTGGATTGTTTGAGGCATGTCGGTAATGATTCCATCCGTCAATATTAACAAAATAAAATAATTTGAGCCATCTTTATAAGAAGCTGCAAATTTTGCGACGTGATTAATTATTGGTGCAAAATTTGTTGGACCGAATAATTGAATTTGACGAATGCAACTGCGATATGCTTCTAAAACTCCTAAAAAACAAAAGTGCATAATGACAGTGATTGAATTTTTTTTTGTTTTTGCATTTAAATTATTTGAAAATATATTTAATTTTAAATAAAAATAAATAATATTTGGAAAAATAAAAAAATTTTTTTTTTTTGAAGCAAACCATTTATTCCATGGCAGTATGGATTGGTTGGATGCATGTTGACAAAAAATTCATGTGAAACTCGTCCATCTGGAGGTAGACGAGCTCCAAATCCTAATACAGGAAATAGTTGATCAGAGTCATAGTCTTTTATGATTTGTCCCACTGAAATAATGGCTTGCTCATAATAATTAGGCTGCTCGCTAATGTAATGAAGTGAATCAGGAGATAAAGGATCACCATTAGAACCTAGAACACATTATTTGTTATAAATACATAGAAATAAAGTAATTTATGTATGTGAATCCCACAAGTTTAATTTATTAAGTCTACTTTTAGTTTTTTATAAAATAGTTGTTGATTATCTTACCAGTAAAATCGATTGCAATTGAGCAATGAAGTTGGACTCCACCTCTTATATAGTCTAAAAAGGAATCAACGGAAGATCTCTCAAAATACTCGAGCAGAATCTCTCCAGAATGTTTATAACTAGATGACTTTTTTTTGTCTGGATGTATAAGAGGTATTTTTTTTAATCCAGGCTCACTTTCACTCAACTCTCTCAAAGTAGTATAAAATTCTCCAATAAGACTGTTGTTACCACTCGAATTCCAATCCCAACAAACTATTTTTAAATTTCTATCCAAATCTCCATTGCATAATGTTGCAATAGGTATAGTAAATTTTTTCCACTTTGGATTCAATGTCTTTTTTATAACTTCTGTCTTGTGTACCACCACATATAAATTAGATTCAGTAGATTTATGAATAACTAAAAAAGGATCAGATTTCCCAAACCAATCTTTTTTATCTAAACCTATTCCAGAGAATTGAAAGGTTATTTCATCTTTTAATGTAGACAATTCTTCAGCAACTATAATAATGTAACCACAAGAACCGTCACCGATTCCACCATTTGTAGGACTTAATGCCAATTTAACACTTCCATTACTAACTAACTGTCCTACAGTACATTGTACAGAACCTAAGAAATCATGATCAGACAGACAAGTACTATTACTGTCAACATCATAAACTTCAAACTTTAAATTTTGTTGCTCTTCAAAACAATACTGAATTTTTACTTTTGACAAAAAGTCAGGATCATGATTGTCGTTAATGCATTCTGTCCTATGATATTCAACCCACCTTTTTTCACCAAAAGGGTGTATGAAAGTTATACAGATGGGATCAGATTTAGAGAGCAAATCTTTACTTTGCAGTGATCTAAAAAATCATAAATAACAAAATTCAATTTTTCATGGAAACTTTTAAAATATATTCCATATTTTTATACATACTTTTTCAAAGAAAAAATTAAGAATAATTTATTATTATAAAAAAATTTGTTAAAATTTACCTGCAAGATATTGATAACTCGATTTCAGCTGTAGGAACAGCTGCTGTTCCTGGAGTAAAATTTGAACTCATGTTTAATATTATTTAATAATACTAATACATTTTACCTAATAAATTGTAATATTAAGTTGTTGTTTTTTTTTAAATTACTAAGCTCAAAGCTCATGTATTTTAAATTTGTTATTTATAAAGCATTATTCTGATCTAAAAAAAATTTCCCAAGATTCTTTAATTGGAGTAATTAAGTTTTGGTACAGAATAAAATTATTGATAAAATCTTCCTAACTTATGAAGTCAGAAGCTTTTATTTATCTAGAACCTATAACTTTAACATTACCTAAATAACAATGAAAGTGAAAGTTGACATATCGAATAACGAATATTTTTATTTTGTAAATAAATAAAACTTTCTAATTCACAAACTGTAATAAATGTCAAAAACTTTAATACAAAATTTTATTACTTATTTTTTAAATAAAGCAAAAAATAATTTATATTACATGAAATGGCAAAATTTTTATTTAACAAAATGTTACAAAACATTGAAATAAACAGATAATTATATTCTTATACTCTGTATCACAATAACTACTCTTCACTATTGAGTATCTGTACAAAAAAAAAATTTATTTTTTTTAAAAAACAGAATATGTAAATATGATTTTTTTATTAATTTCTTTTTTTTTTTTAAATAAAAATACATTGTTTTGTTAGCATACATTTTTATTAATAAAATTTTAGTCTATGCATTATTTCCGCCAAAACAAAATAAATATGGCATTCAAACTTCCAAAGCTTCGTTTATAATTTAATGTATTTTTAGTATTAAATATTGATGTAAGTACTTAAGTTTTTGATTTTTGTAGCAATGGAAGACACAGTACATAGTACATTTGTTTCTCAAAAAATTTCAAAAATTCGTTGGAAACCAGAACAATTAAGTGAATCACAATACTTTGTTACCGGTGGCACAGATGAAATCGTAAGTTAATATTATGTTAAATTTATTGTTAAAGTACTGTTTGTTTCATTTTATTTTTTTTTAAATAGAACAATTATTTAACGTTATGGAATTACCCTATAAAACAAACGGATTCGGAAAATTATCCTTTAAAGGAAAGAACATTTTCTCATTTAGGAGATGTAACCGATATGAAATTTTTATTAAATGATCACCTTGTCGTATCTTCTTCCTGTGGATTCGTTACACTTTTGCAATGTGATCAGTCTGATTTTAGGCTAATTACAACATGGGAAAAGTTACATTATTATAAAACTAAAGAGCCAAGTCCATGCACTGGCTTGGCTTGTTTCGAAGAAGATATAGCCACTATTGGAGAAGATGGACGCATAGTTTTGCTCACTCTTGTTCAAACAAAACCGATAAGAGTCATTGGTAAAAGATTTTACTATTTCAATCATAAACACATATTTTCTTTTCATTCTAATATCATAAAAATTATTACAGAAAGTTTAAATAGTTCATCTCATTTATGTATTGATTTCCTGAAACATAATGAACTTCTAACGGGAGATTTAAGGGGACAAATGAAAATATGGGATCTAAGAGTTCCTGAAAATTGTCCTTTAACTACATTTATGCTTTCTGGAGACCAAATTGCTGCAATGTGCATTGCAGTTCATTCAAGTCAAAAACATATATTATTAGTTGGAGGAGAAGATGGGTCTGTTTATGTGTGGGATTTAAGAAAAAGCACCCACCCCATTAATATTATAAATGCTCATAAAGGCTCAGGTATATTTTTTTTTTATTTTTTAAAATTACATTTAAATCTAACTGAGAATGAGAAAAAAATGATTACTATTAATTCATGATTATGGAAAATTAAAAAAGAATTAATTGTGAAATTAACTTTGAATGTAAAAATATTTACAGTATCTGAAATGGTTTTTCATCCACTACATCCTGAACACCTATTTACATGTTCGTCAAGCGGTCAATTATGGCATTGGAATACTGTTAAAAATATACGAGGTAATTCAGTTATTAAAAAATGTTTAAAATTTATAAAATTTTTTGTAATTTAATTCATTGATTTATTTTAGAATATGATAAACAAGAAAATATTTGGTTAAGTAGTAATACGAATAACAAAAAAATGGAAATTTTTTCACTTATGCCTACAGTACACAAACCAATAAATTCATTGGATGTCAACAGGAATAGATTAATATGTGGATGTGATAATGAAGCTATTTATATAATTAAAAATTTGCCAATTTAATGTAATTTTAATATTTTTTAATACTACAAAATATAATTATTTTAATGACTATCAGTGTATAATTTTTAAATTAATTTACTGAGTGATTATTAAAATCTAAAAATCATACTATTGATGAACGATGTTTTTATGGTATAGTAATACATTAATTAAATTTATACATACATCCTTACAGGTTAATGACATTTTAGTTTTGTTCAGAACTCTTAAAATTGTTTTCATTGGCATCAATCAATTTTTGATTCTTAAACATTTCAATAAGTATATCAGTTGCTGAGGGCTGTAGATTTTTTGGCAATGAAAATTTTTCTTGAGGAAATTTTGATATATTAAATTCTGGGTTTTTATGTAAGAAAGGGCTCCAGGGACCCTGAATAGAAGGGGTTTTGGTGCACCAGTATTTTTTAAGTCTTGCTTCAGGGATTCCAGATTGAGTTTTTAACAAGTCTAGCCATTTATTTATATCTTCTCTTGTAAAATTATTAACTGGAATCCATTTTCTTCCTCCATTCACTAAAAAATACAAAATTTACTAGATGTCCATAGAAAAGGATAATTTCTAATTTAAAAGAAAATACGCACGATATTCTGCGACGAATACGGGGCTTCTGTGACGCCTTGGTTTCATGTATATAACAATATTTGGAT